TCACCAAAGACCTGTCACCATCAGTGTCACCACCACATGAACAGTCCAGCTGACCAAAGACGTAGCCCTACCTCTCTCGAGAAGTCATCCCGGTCCGCTCTTCTGTGCACTCATGCTCATTCTCAGTGACATCGGCGAATGATCTACAGTGTAGATGCAGGTTGTGTGTCACACAACCTCATCAATCATCGTTGCGAAGGTCAAAATTGAAAACAGCCTTGCCGCCCAAGCTACGCTATGATATCTTTCAGTGCAAGCCTGAGCTCAGCGAGGCTAACACGACCAGTGTGCTCATGATCACAGTCCTCGAAAGCCTCTCGGTACTTTATTATCTCAGCCTCCGAGAACGGCAGCAGGGGACAGACCTGAGCAACATCATAACTGTATTAAACCGCGTGGTTGAGTCGAACCTCACTGAGGCGATGTTGTTCTCTCGTCAATCGCCACACCTCCGCCTTGAACAGATCGTAACGAACAACTCTGGCGCTGTTGGTATCGGCGCACAGCTTCTCAAGGATAGCCACAAATCGAGCTCTCGATAACGCTGGCCCGCCAGGTGGGAAGCCAAGCTTCGTGAACGCCTATCGTGAGAGACAAATTGCCTCTAGGAAAATCTCGTTTTCATGTGGACTTCCTCCGGCTCGATCATATCCTTCCTAACATCAACTGACCGGGACAGAATAGAGGGAGGGATAGACTCACAACTCTAGTCGCTGTCGGTGGGAATTCTCGTTCACCGTTAAGGCAGGGAAGAGGCCAACAGCGCTAGCTCCTGTCAACCTCATCGTAGGATTGTCGCTGACTGGTGACAGTATATTCGCATATCCCAATGATGCAAAGGAGGATATATCTCCACCGGATTTTGGCGATGGACCTGAACCGCCAACTACTGGGCCGCCTCTAAATGTCGTTCCACCTCCCAAGACCGAGGCGAACAGTTTGAGGACCTCAACCAGCTCCTCCAGCGCCAGATGTAGTGGGGACATTCCGGGCAGCAGGAAATGGAATGAGGCAGGGCAAGGTGTAAGCCGCTCTTGATTCCGACCAGACCGTCGCAATGCATTTGATGAGTTCGTCGGGGGCCGGCTCCGATCGAAGCAATGCATTGAGAAGTAACGCGTGATAGTCGGTTTGTCCAATTTGCTCTCGGTGATGGAATTCTTTCAGACCGTGAATACAGCTTATGACAGCACATGATATCCGTACGGTCTGGACCTGGTCCAATGGGCCACTCTGGAAGCAAAAAGGCATGTATCATATAGATTGAAACCCTGCATCGAGAGGTAGTGCACTCAATCCCATGCCAACGACCGCTGCATC